TATTTTCCCCTGCAACTTTAGTTACATTTCAGAAATTTTGAAAATTAGGAATCTCGATTTATAATTCTCCAATTGCAGTTTCTCTGTCCTCTTTAAATCAAAGCGTTTTAAAACTCATGTGCATTGTTTATGCATTTATTTTCATTTTTTGATATTCATTCATTTCTAATTTTTTTGTCAAGAACTGAGGCTACATTCTATTCAGCCAGTGTCCTTTGGAACCTGAGGTCTTTTTGCAGCCTGGCACGGGAACATTTGAGGAAAAGGTATTTCATCCATATCCTGAGTGAGTGAAGTTAAGCTTACTATCTACATCTGTAAATCCTCCCTATTCTTCTTTGGAGATGACTTGTCCTATCAATTCACTTATTAATACTGCTCAAGACATTCGGTGCTCTACCTTTTTTTCTTGTGGTTGTAAGAACGTATCATTTCAAATATTTTATGGTCCTATTGCTCTGGTGAGAGTAAAGCCTCATGATTTGTGTATCTTTTTGTAGAATTAGAAATATAAAATGTCCCACTTTATCTAACTTTGTAGTTTGTCTGAGATTAATTTTGACTTTCCCGCATTCTTTTTTGTTATCACTTAGCTTGTTACAACATTTTTTACATTATTTTTTAAATTTCAACCTTTCTTTGCCAATTTGTTTTAATTGTATTACTTCAAAATGGCAAATAGCCTGATTTTTGTTTTGTTTTGTTTTACTCGTCCTGGTCTCTTTTTTTTTCTGGTGCCGGGGATCAAACTCAGGACCTTGCGCTTGCAGGTGCAGCACCACTGAGCTAAATCTCCAGCCCTCATCCTGGTCTCTTAAGTTAGAATAAAATGATTTAATGTATTCATGTTAATTGTATTCATTAATATGTCTGGTCTTAATTTTGTAATTTTATTTTATGTCTTTTGTTTATTACATCTTCTCCTTTCTGTTTAATTTTTTTGTTTCCTAACTCTTGCTAGATTAACTGAATTTTCTTTGTTCTTCTTGTCCTCCCCCCCCCACACACACACACAGAGTAGTTTAAGAGGTGTTTTCTTCCTTTTCTTTTAGAAATAGTTACCTTTCAGTAAAAGATATTTCTCTATTCATGTCAAGAATTAAAAGGCATCTAGTTCCCAACAAGATGAGCTCATGATTATGGACATTTGTTAGATGTGACTGTACTTTTCTTCACTCTATTATCGTCACTGTTCCTTGTGTATCTTGTCTTGCCCTTTCTTGAATTACTTACTCTGATACAGTTTTTATTTTTTTGGAGTAATTCCTTGAATAATTTTTTTTAGGAATAGATAAGTGGGTGGCATCCTATTTTAGTGCTTCTCTCTTTCACTTTGAGACTTCGATGAGTAATTGATTTAATAATTTTAACTCTTTTTCCTCAAAGTTCTAAGATCTTTACCTTGTTGCCCTCTAGCAGTTAATAAGGGAGCTATCAAGTCCAAGCTTCTCACCTGTTTTGTAGAGACTGTTAAATACCAGGTCTCCAAATATTGTCGAGAAAAATGCGTCGGTGAGACCAACCTCAGGTCATCACTCACATGGGGAAGGGAAAACAGCAGCTCCACAGAGCCCTGGCATGTCTGGGAGGAGGAGGCAAGGTTGGCTTCACTGAGGATGAGAAATTTCCTCCAGATGAGGATGGGAGTGTGGTTGCTTGCTCAGGACTGTGAAGGCATTTGGCATAATAGTCTGGGATGAGAGGAAACAGTGAGGGAAGGAGTTTTAAGGCAAGGCAAGAGATGCAAAGAATCTTAGGGCACAAACTGTTGCTTCAGAGTGGATGCATTCTTCAGGAAGCTTCTGTAATAAGCAATCAAGTCGTCTGCCAGGCTAGAGGCCTCTGAAATAGTAAAGCCATGCAACTGAAGGCCATACAAGGTGGATGTTCTCTGTTCTTAATAGCTTCCCTCCCCTCCACTTAAACCCAGAGGATTCTCTTATGCTTAGATTGTGGTCCTCTGCCTCTGAGCAGGTCTCCTGCTTTGCCACATGGGCCATCCCTACCAGACCAGGTGAGGTCAGCGTGGCTCTGAGCAGGGCTTCTGTCCCTCCCTCTTGTCTGTTTCCCTGGGCTTCCTAGCAAGCAACTATGGAGCTGTCCTCCTTTTACATTCCTCTTTTATTTCAGTCATGTTTTAGGGAGAAGAGGTAGACAAATGGGTTCAGTTTGGCATCTAGAACCTCAGTTGCATGTGACATTTTCAGGGAACTGTGGACACAGGTGTGGTGGGGCAGCTCTCTGACATGCAGCATCAGTGACTGTCTCACTCCTGCAGCTCCCACAGAAGTCTCCCTGCTGTCACCTGGACTTATCTACCCTGAGCCACACCTCTTGTCCTGAGTGCATCACCTTATGGATCAGAACAATTCTGTGACTTCACTTCCTGTCTAGTCCAGATGCCTTTCTCCTCTTCTTCCCTGCCCATCTCCTCCCTCAGTAGCCATTAGTGCTTCTCTGCTCCAGTCACTGGGACGACATGTGATTTCTTGAACATTCCATTCCTGCCTTTTTTTCCCTCCTCTTTCTCTCATACACACAGCATGAAAATGGACTGACTACTCCACTGCATTCCCCTCAAAGGGGGGCTACATCTTGGTCATCTTTTATCCTTGGTACCTCCCATCCAGTCCAACCCACATAAGCATTGAATGTGCATCTGTGAAATGAATGAACCACAAAACTGTGTTCTAAAGGACTTCTGTGCCCTGACTGTGTGTCGGAGGTTGGCAATGCGTCATGCTGACCCCACTTGGGCTTCCTGCAGTGTGGAAGGATTTGAAGCTCATGGTGTCTTTGTGCATAGCAGACACTATTGTTACTCTTTTTTATTATTAATACATATTTGCAGTACCTACATAATGATTACATTCATCATGGGGAGTTGCTACACATACGTAATACATCTTAATTCTTTTTTCATCCTCTTCCCCTCTTCTCCCTCCTCCTTCTTAGACTTAGGAGAGGTGCAGCAAATGTGCATTGGGTGTTCCAGGAGGCAGAACTCATGCCCAGCCTTGTGGGAGGTGACTAAAACAGCTGAGGGAAGATAAGCAGGATTGGGCCAGGTAGACATGGCTATGGGGGAGGGGATGATATTCCAACAAGAAGAAACTGCCCAAGCAAAGGCTTGGAGGTAGGAAATTATGGGCTCTGTTTGTGGTACAGTATGTTCTGAAACATCAGAGGGAAGAATAGTGCATCACCATTTTTTAAATTAATAATTGCCATCTATTGGAAATTGTAAGGTCAGACCTGAAAATAATGGAGAATTGTGGAGTTGTGAAATCTTTGTATGGTTTTGATGACAGAATCAGGAAATGATAGATGACAGCCACGGAGCAAGTCCAGTTTCATCACTGTGTGGTAGTAGGATGATGTCCTTTGCTGTGGGACAGGACTGGCTGGATTTCATAGTGGCAGGTATGGTGGCCAAAGGATAGCAGAAGAGCTTGGGTGCCCTGTGTGTTTTATGGGAATCGGCAGTATCATGTGGTTGCCCAGAACTAACCATTCCAAAATCAGGTTAATGCAAAGCATAGTGCCCAAGGAGCAAGGGGACCATGCCCCAAGCCTGTATATAGGTGATGCCAGTCCTAGACTGTCAAGTTTCATGGAGACAAAATGTATAGCAATTATGTGAGCCATATCACATGTGAGGCATTGTTCTAGGCCCTTTATGAGAACTGACTCATGAAAAACCTGGGAGGTACTCACCATTCTTAGCCCCCTTTGCAGGCACAGCAACTTTCCAGAGCTACTGAGGTCATAAGTAGAAGAGCCAGGGCTTCAACTCAGGTGTCCTAACCCTGAAAACTACATTCTCAGCCATCCCATCACACTGTCTGGAGCAAACAAATGGAGCATAGTCAAAAGGGTACAGTGTGTATGTGACATGCCATGCTGTAAATGACAAAATCAACTCACATTTTCTGGTTTAGGAAGCACTCTCCTCTGAGTTTTCTTATTTGAGCCCTAACAACAGACTGCTAAGTCAATTGTTAAAAACCGATGCTCACTCATCCATCCATCCATTCAGTAATCATTGTTGAGCTCCTGCCCTGACCCAGGGTTCTCTTGGCTCTGAACGCCTTGTTTTGTTCAGTGATTGGGGAATACAATGTACTCTTATGTCTATTACTATATTTAATCCTCACCCAGGCCCCAATCCAGTCACTTGTACAGGTGCATTAGTTTTCTCTTGCTGTTTAACCACTTCACACTTAGTGGCTGAACACCACACCCCTTTGTTAGCTTAGCTCTGTTAGTCAGACCTCTGTGTGGAGTGGCTGGACTCACTCAGGCTAACACAGGGGTCTTGGAAGCTGAGTTTGTGTCTGGAAACTTTGAAGGACATTCTGCTTTTCCAAGCTCCTTCTGGGTATTGACAAAACCCAATTCCTTGTGGTTGTAGGACTAAGGTTCTGTTTCCTTCCTGGTTGTCAGCTGAGATATTGCTCTCATGCTTCTACCAGCTGCTTCCAGGTCCTTCCCAAATGACTCCTCCATCTTCAAGCCAGCAAGGCATGTTGAATCCTAATTCTAATCCCTTTGATGTTTCATCTCTGACTAGCCAGACAAAACTCTTCCTGTTAGGGCTTTCCTGATTAGCTCATTCCCTGATAACCTCCCTATTTGAAGGTCAATTTTGCCCTATAACTGAACCTAATCATCTAGCGTATCCCTAGTCCCAGAGATTGTGTAGGACTGTATACAGGGGATGGGGTAGCAAGAGTTTTGAGGGCCTTCTTAAAATCCTGCTAACAGTGCTGGTGAAAAATCATCAGGCTCAGGAAGTTCAGAGTTGGGCACAAGGTAGTACAGTGGATTCCAGTGTCACTACACCATCTCCTTGAGAGATATGGGAATCAGACCTGCAAAAAGAAAACCAGCTTGGGAGGAGTTGGGTGTTGGCCTGCTGGGACCAAGCAGAAATCATTCTGTGTCTAAAGAAGTTGACGAGAAAACTCATTGACCATGACTTTCAACCACCTCTACAGGATCTGAGATATAAACTCAGCAGTCCTTGAAGTAGTTCATGGAGGAGCCTCAAGAGACGCTGGCCAGGAAAGCTCTCGCCTGCAGAGGGAAGAACCGTGCGTGAGGCAGCTTCAACAGGAGTGGACATGAACACTGGTTTCCAGAGAGAAGAGCGTTTTAGTTTTGGTCACCGGAAGTGGTGCCTTCAGCACAGGTAAGAAGCCAGCTGTTGCTGGGTTGGCTCACTAGGAGGACCATTTTGATCAAGTGTGAGTTTGTTTCTGTTCTTCCACTGAAAAGGTGTTGTTATTATGATTATCACTGCCTTCCTTGAGTCTCTGGGAAAGGTGATCTGTCAGTCTTCAGGACCACTTAATCAGGAGTGAGCCCCCAGTGTCCTCCCTGCCATGGATCCCCATGCTATCTCCCAGAAATGCAACACTGTCCAGTCAGGGGAGCTAGGCAGCAGCCCTTGAGGGCAGAGTAACAGCTCCACAGGGCCCCCTGGTGGAAGAGTTGGAAGAATGCCAGGCTGGGGGCCGTGGTTCCCCGCACAGGGCACATGTTAGAATCATCTAGGGCATTCTCAAAATTCCAGTACCAGAGCCCTGCTCGGGAGATACTGATTGGATTGGCCTTGGTGGGGCCCCATCCCCAGTATGTGTTTACATATTTCTGGCTTCTCAGATACATGCTGTGGTTTCAGGATAGATGTTCAGTCTGTGGTTCAGCTTAGGTGTGCAGTGTTAGAAGCTCATTAGGGCAGTAATAGAGCCTAGGAAGTTTTGTCTGGTACTGATGGCATCAGGATCACCTGGGAGCTGGCAGAATGGGAGAGGGATGCCTGTTAAGAAGAAAACAGAAGGAATGTGGATTTCTTGGCACACCCATTCCCTCTCCATCAGGTGTCTGGGGATAGAGGATGCTGGAGTCCAGAGTTCTGATACTCAGGGCTTCTGGCAGCTCTAGATGTGCTCACCCCATCCTGTGTCTGGGTCTGTGGTCTCAACTGTGACGTCCAAAGGGTGTTTCCCAGCCTGGCTGGCCATGAGCAGTGACTCATCTCCTTTACCGAGAGCAGAAGTTTTCTCACTGTGCAGAGCAGGGCCTGAGGCCAGAAACCACCTCAGAAATGGCATGAGTGTAGCTGCATGGACTGTGGGGTGGTGAAGGCCTGGGTTCTGCCCATGGCTTGGCAGCACACCTGAGCCCCACAGCCTTGGGCCTTGACCAGGATTCTCCCACAGAGGTGAAGGGAGCATTCCCTGATCCTTAGGAAGAACTGGGCATTTGAGCCTCATTTTGAGGGGGGAGGGGTATTTGCAGGGAGGGGTATTTCCAGGGAGTGGTTGCTATATAGAATCTTCCCTGAGTTCAAATCCCAGCTCCCACAGACACTGGTTTTGTGCGCTACTTACTGGTTTCAAAGGCAAGTTGCTCTGTTCTTTGGCCTTAGTTTTCTCACTCACCAAACAAGATAGCAGTGGCTCCTGCCTCACAGGGGTGCTGTGAACATGCAGGTGAGGTCCCTAGAACACAGCCAGACACCTAGCAAGGGCTTCCCACACATGAGCAGCCTTCCCACCACCCTCTGCCACTGATGCAGGCAGCTCAGCCACCAGTCTTCCTGTGATACATCTGCTATGCTCTGCCACCTGCTCCTAACACAGGGCCCGGCAGCAGGGTGAAGTCAAGGGACCAGCCTTGTGGCATGCAGGACCAGGCACTTTACAGATAATCTGAGTCCTGCAAGTAAGGCTGGGCCTATCGATCCTTTTGCACAGATAAGGGAATGAGCACAAAGAAATTTAGTAATTTAAATACAGTCACACAGCTAGTAAGGGGCAGAACCTCTAGCTGCAAAAGATCTACCACTTTGTTTTCCTATTAAGGTGCCTCCTGAAGAAAGGCAGTTATAACTTCAGGGATGACCCTTCCCTAAGAATATCTGCATTTTAATAGGAATCAATGGTGCCTTATAATGAATGAGTTCCTTTCCTTGGCACCCTGAGACACTTCCTGGTACCTTGATTTTGCATTTGTTCCCCTCTGTGTGTGGGTCTCCTCCCCTAGCAATCATAGGGCAAGTTTTGGATTTACTGCTTGAGGAATGCAATAGCCATTCACACTAGTCTAGAAACAGAACACACCTTCTAAGGGCTGCAAGCAGAGCTCTGAGAGGACAGCCCCAGAGAGCCTCCCTAGATCTGGAATTTGTCCTCCCAAATTTGATACCCCAAATCTCTTTTGTCTGCATGAGCTCTGCCAGCTGCAAGGGGAAATCTGTAGAGGAGGAGACTTGCTAGCAGGAAACGAGCTGCCAGTTCCAGTCAGAAATCTGCCCCTCCCCCTTCCCGTGCTCTCCCAGGGGAACCGCACATCCATGGTTAATGGGGTGCTGACTCAATGCTGCCGGAGAGCCCAGGTGATTGTGGCATGGCTGGCCCACCAGGTTGGAAATGTGTGGTATGTGGGGGGCAGGGAGCATGGTCCAAGCCAGCAGGTGCAAGGCTAATAGCTCCGCTTGTGCCAGGGAGGGGCGAGGCCTGTTAGGGCCACTTGAGGTTTGGGAGCATCTGTATTCCCAGGAGAATTATTGGAGTCATTTAAGGGCAAAGAAACATGAGGTCATAGTCCTCCTTTAGGATGGGCCTGAACTAGGACTCTGTGTAGAACAAATGTCACATCTGAATGAGTGATCAGAGGACAGAGCTAATCTGAAAATGGGCATGGAAGCATTTTGTCAGCAGCAGACTTCTCGTGCTAGTAGTATTCAAATTATTTATCAGAAGCCTTTTTTGTTTTGTTGGTGGTGGTTTTGTTTTTTGTTTTGAGGGGTATGGGGTTATTTGCTTGTTTGTTTTTTTGAGACAGTCTTCCTATGTAGTCCACTCACTGTGTAGCCCAGGCTGGCCTCAAACTTTTGATTCTCCTGTCTCAGCCTCCCAAATGCTGGAGTTACAGGTGTGGACCACCATGCCCTTCTAGAAGACATTTTTAAAAATCAAATCTTGCATGGAATGCCAATGTTAAATCAGGTTAAGGTAGTAGTTTATTAATACACATTTTTTTACAAGTTCAGGTATTCAACATTTACTTATGAAAGTCCATCAACAAAGTAATAACTCTGTTTTGATGCATAAAAGCATTGAAATACAAGGTTTTGGACCAGGGACCCACAAACTATGGCTTGTGGGTCTAACCCAGGCTGCCACCTGATTTTGTAAGCAAAGTTTTACTGGAACACAGTCACACCATGTGCTTACACCTTATCTGCAGCTGCTTGAGACCATCTGTCCCTTGAAACCAGATAAACTCTGCTGACCTCTGCCCTGGATGGCCATCGTGTTGCTCTGTCAGCTGCAGCCGTCCAGTATTCCTTTCTCCTTCTTACTTTGCCTGGCCCAGCTGCACAATGGATGGTGACAGATTTTCAACAGCACACCTTGCAGCCATGGAGCAAGCCTCAGTTCCATGCCATGAATATTCAGGGGAGAGTAGAAGGGAGCGCTAGTCTGATACCCAACAACTGCTTGAATTCCTTCTTATCACAAACAAAAGTCAGACAGGGAGCCCCACAATCATTTATGATGCTTGTGTGATAATATATCCTCTTGTCACTGAAAGCTTCAGTGTATGCTTGCTTGTGCGTTTTGATGTAAGTGTGTATGGTCCTGAACTTAACAAGGACAACCACACAAAGATGCCCAATAAAGGGCTCAAACCCAGTATTCCTGGTGGAAAACATATGTCAATCCTGAAGTTCAAGATCTGAAGTTCAAGATCTACCCAAACCTTATTCCATGGTCCACACAATCCAAGTGAAGCTGGCCCTACCCATTGGCTGTGTTCCATAGGTCACAACGTGACCTGAATATGCAGGTTCATTTTCTGGTTTGGTAGTAATAGGAGTCAAGCTATATTTTTAGAATAAATTCTCATGTAATAATTGAAAGAGCTCTTAAGCATTTCTGTGAACACAATTTGAAAACCATGCTTTAGCAAACATTGGTGACTCTTGATTTCAGTGTTTAAGGATAACAGAGGAGGCTGGAGAGAAAGATTGGGTGAGAGATGGCAGAAAGGAGAAGAGCAGTGATGCTGTTGATAAAGGCAAGAATCATTGGGTGGCAGTGGGGTCCTGGCAGGAGCAGGGTCAAGGGTGGAAGAAGTCCTTAGCCAGCACAGAGAGCCCTGTGAGTTCCTCCTGAGGGCTGTGATGTCTCCTAGCCATTGGCGAGGACCTAAACTTAGCTGTTCAGCTGTTTGAATGACTGCGTCTGCCAACATGGAGGAAGAGGTGCAAGGGAGCATGGGGAAAGATTAAAACGTGCAGAGAGTTTGAGAGGGAGCTGAAAGCACAGAAGTATCTCCTGACAGCTGTGCCAAGGGCCTTTGCTGTCACTGGAGGCCCTGCACATCCCTTTGGATGGAGACCCGAGGAAGTGGTACTGGGACTGGGCAGTGGCTTTAGGCATTTAAGGCAAATCCCTAAGAGCCAGGAATAAAACCACCTGGCGGCCCCTCAGCGGGTGCAGGGAAGGGAAAGCCAAGGTGGTGACTTTGGGAGGCTTTGAGCTGAAAAGGTCTCTGGGGATAAAAACACCCTAGGCCTTCCTGAGGGTTTGCTACTCCCCCCATAAAAAAGAGACATTTTTAGATTTTAAAGGATGACCTCATTTTTTTTCATATTTACATAGCCCTGTTTGTTTGTGTAGTTCTTTAAAAATAGCCGGTGTATGCTAAGCTTAGTGCTCGGCCTCTGAGCACCGATGGCTGAGCCACTGTGTGGGAAGAAACGCCTTTTTATCTAAGAAAGGGGCAGCCTTGTTTCCGAGGACAGATGGAAGCAAAACAGGACAGGTAGGAAGTTTCGTGGTTTTTCATGTCGCTTCTCAAAAATAGCCTCACTCCTGCCTCCCACTTCCTGCCGGGCGCTACACACAGCAGATTTTCTCCATCAGCAGACTTGTGTTCTGTGAATTCTCAGGGAGACTCCAAGGCATCTGGTGACAAGCAGACGTCCTCGGACTTTGTGTGTGGCACACAGGGCCCCAACTCAGGTTTGGAGCACTGGGTTTGCGCCCCGGCTCTGTGGCATACTAGGTGTGTGACCTTGCACAAGCTACTTCCTCCATCTGAGCCACATCAGTGAGATGGGAGTAACAACACTACCTATAGCAAGCCATTCCTGTGCAGGTTAAATGAAGAAAT